ACTTTTTCCAGGTTTACTTGACCAATAAGTGTAGCCACACCCAATTTAGAACCTACTGTTTTTCCTCTATATCTATATCCTCATCACTGTGTAGATGTCCATACAATTCATATTTATCTGTGTTGGTATGTGAGAAGTTGAGAAAATATAAATTAAGAAAGAAACCACATCCCAAATTAGTGACAAGCGAAATCATTCTGTGAGTACAGAATTGAGGACAAAGGTAAAGGGGACAGGGAAAGCAGACAAGACAAGATTTGATGGAAGGAAGGCCAATAGCTAAGAGTAGGCACATTCAAGAGGAAAAGAGATTTTACTATTATTAGACAAAATTAAGGATCTTAGGTCTTAAAATAAGGCAGTTTATGTTTTCTGTGGTTAGGACTAAGATTATCTATCACGGAACGGCAGTAGCTGGGGACTTGGGAACTCAGTACTTCTTTTTTAGTAATATCTGTGTAGCAAGACTGTCAAAAGCAGACTCAATTGAATCTTACATGTTGTTCTGTGATTTTTTTTGTGTACTTTTTAATAACGATGCATTTTCATGTCACCATACTCCAAAACAAGTCAAACATAATTTGAACTTTGCCAAGAAAAAGACTGCTAATGTGAATATTCACTTTTCTGTTATGGAACAAACAGATATGTCTCTAGACATTCTCTGTGTCTAGAGCATAGGGCAAAATGTCTCAGGTTGAGTAAATTTAATCCTATTTTCTTGGAAAAAAATGCATCATTGCGTTTCATGGAGAGCAATGTATTGTGTGGTTTAGGAGAGGATTTTGTGGTGTCTATGGAGTGGTTATTAAAAATTCTTCTTTTATATTAATGAGAATCAAAGTTATATGTCTGGAATGAAATATTTCAATCAAAAAGGAGTGTGGTAGAAAGTTTTATGTGCTGTATTCAACATTTCTTATGATTGGTTTCTACTACTCTTAGTTTTGTATTCTTCACATTCTAGAGCAGGATAACAAATTTGGTGGAGTGAGAGGTATATTCATTCCCATCCTCTGGAAAGTCATAGTTTATACTCCCATTGTCAGGATGAAAGGCAAAAGGAACAAAAAGAAAAGAAGAGAAAAATACAAGATAAAAATGTCAAAAATATGAATTAGAGGTAGCACCACATTGGCAGCTTTCTGCGTGGTTTTTTTTTTAACTTTTTTATTTATTTGTGAAACAGAGAGAGACAGACTATGAATGGGGGAGGGGCAGAGAGAGACGGAGACACAGAATCAAGGCAGATTCTAGGCTCTGAGCTGTCACCGCAGAGCCCTACGTGGGGCTCGAACTCAAAAACCGTGAGATCATGACCTGAGCTGAAGTCAGATGTTCAACCGACTGAGCCATCCAGGCGCCTCGGCAGCTTTCTGTTTTGGTCAATCATGAAATAAACAGAAGCATAAAGATTCAATTTCCCTGAAAATGCAGATGGCTCAGCAAAGAGCAAGAAAAGAATGAACTTGGAATAGAGCATGTGTATCAATTTTCACCAAAGCCCAGATTGCCACATATCATCTTAGGAGTCCTGTTTATTACCCTCCCACTTTTCAGTATGGGGGGTTGTGTATAGTGAATATGAACTAGAACTTGGCCCTGCCACTTTAGCTGTTAGTCCTTGGGCTAGTACCAAGCTGGGTTAGAAATGTTTGTCTTCATTTGGTTCTTTTTTTTTTTTTTTTTTTCCCTTCTGTAGCTTAACCAGCTGGAAAAGGCAGTGGAAGCAGCCCACACGTTTTTCATGGCCAACCCTGAGCACATGGAAATGCAGCAGAACATTGAGAATTATAGAACAATGGCCGGTGTTGAAGTACTCCAGTTGGTAGACCGAGAAGCCAAACCACATCTGGTGAGCGCTGGGGACGATTGCCCTAATCAGAAGGTGCTCCTGAGTTTCATTTGACTCAAAGCAGATTCCTGTGCATGGGGGTTTCAGGTTGAGTCTCGGTTTCCAATACAGTGATAGTTTTATATTTTCAGAGTTCTCAGATGAAATATTGTCATTATCAGGGCTGAAAAAATTAACAGAAAATGAAAATACCTTTAGAAAATAAGTAAGATATGATGAAAAGTAGAATGTGATATAAACATCTGTCACCCTCTCTGAACGTCAGTGCCCCCACCATCCTTTGATTTTACATATGGGAGTTGAAGCCAGTGTGAATTGTTCAGGTCATACTGTGGTTTCCCAGCTCCCAGTCCAGGTGCTTTTCCATCATATCTATACTTTTAAAATTCTGATTATTTTAAAGCTATGTAATTATTCATTTAAATGAAAGCTTACTTAAAATCACAGTAAGTTGAAGGTTTTTTTTTTTTCAACCGGTGATGTCACCATTCTCAACATGTGACCTCCAAGATAATTGAAGAATAGAGTAAGAGAAAAAGATTTTCAGAAGCCTATTATCATCACCATCATTATCATCATTATTATTATTATTAAATTTGTCCAGCCCTGGAAAGTGGATGCGTCACAGCCACCTACATCAATCTCCCTGGCCTTTGGTGCATGGCCATAGCTACATGCAGATGGGGTTAGAAAATATTGTCTTGCACGTGCTCAGGAAGAATATGAAATTGACTGGTGCCACAGCATTCAGCTTGCTGGTAACTCCCATCTCATTTACAATTACTTGAAGCCACAGAAGTTACCTTTTGTCTTCCAGTACAACCCTTCATTATTCTTCCACAGCACAAGAGCACAGTGCCCCCTGCCCAAACGATCCTGAATCTGTCTAAATCCTGCTATTCAAGCACCCCAATATTTTTCTGCTTCTTTGCAGGAGAGTTACAGTGCAGGAGTTAAACATTATGAGGCTGATGACTTTGAGCTAGCTATCAAGTACTTTGAACAAGCTTTAAGAGAATATTTCAGTGAAGATACGGAGTGCAGAGCCCTGTGTGAGGGGCCTCAGAGATTCGAAGAGTATGAGTACTTAGGGTACAAAGCTGGCCTCTATGAAGCCATTGCAGGTAAAGCTTGCTTTTCCCTTTATTTATTTCCTGATTATAGAAATACTACATGCAATCTGTAAACTATTCTAATAATACAGAAGTATATGTTGCAAAAAATGGAAGATATATTTAGCCCATCTATCTCCAATAAATAAATCTACCTAGTTTAAATGTTGTTGACTGTGGTCCCAAACTTTTTCAGATGCATATGTAAATGTTTATGTATTTATCGATAATTATTAGTTCATTTTTTATAAAAATAAGACAATACTATGGGTACTGATTTTCAGCATATTTGTTTTTTTGTTTTATTTTATGCTTAACAATGTAGGTGGACTTCTTCTCATGTAAGTACATGTAGATCTACCTTATTGTACTTAATGGTTGTTTAATGTTCCAATATATGTGGAAAGCATAATTGACTGGTTCATTTACTGATGAATATTAAGGACGTTGAAGGTTTTCATTATTGTAAACTGTGTATTAGTGAATACTTTTGTGTAGTTTTCTTCAATTAATTAAAAGGGCATTTCATTATATATGAAAATTTAATATATTACCAAGTGGCTTTTAAAATAGGTAATATGGGGGCGCCTGGGTGGCTCAGTCGGTTAAGCGGCCGACTTCGGCTCAGGTCACGATCTCACACTCCGTGAGTTCGAGCCCCGCGTCGGGCTCTGTGCTGACCCCTCAGAGCCTGGAGCCTGTTTCCGATTCTGTGTCTCCCTCTCTCTCTGACCCTCCCCCGTTCATGCTCTGTCTCTGTCTCAAAAAATAAATAAATGTAAAAAAAAAAAAAAAAAAATTAAAATAGGTAATATGAATTATAATTGAGGAGATTGGCTAGTTAACCATTTATGGTGGGAAGCATATGCAAAAACACAAAAATAAATTCTATTTATGTTAATGTAAGTATGAAAATAAAGCTATTTGAACAAAATGCAAAAGAATATTTTTATAATGGAAGGAGAAGAAAACCACTTCTCAGCATGACAAAAGACAAGAAATATGAAGAAAAAGACAGACTTTACATAAGATTTATAATATAAGAGATACAATAAATTAAGCTGAATTACAAATGATAAGGGGAAAAAGTTGCAAAATATTTAGAGGCAAATCGTTAATATTCATAATATTTGAGTAGAACCTGTAAATTATTATTAGTAGTGGTAATTTATTTCTGATTTATTGATAGCCATAATAATAAGCAACATTTATATAGCAGTTACAATGTAGAAAGCATTTTACATATTTCATATTTATATATCTTTTAATCCTCTAAACAACTTCTTGTAGGTGTCTGAGGAGTTTATACCTCATAGCAATGTGATTATGGTGAAGCTAGAAATATGGGGTGGCTGGGTCCAGCGGGTGGTTCAGCGGGTTAAGCATCTGACCTTGATTTCTGCTCAGGTCATGATCTCATGGTTCATGGGATCAAGCCCCAAGTCAGGCTCTGCACTGACAATATGGAGCCTGCTTGGGATTCTCTCTCTCTCTCTCTCTCTCTCTCTCTCTCTCTCTGCCTTTCCCTTGCTTGTGCATGCTCTCTCTTTCTCTCCCTTTCTCTCTCCCTCTCAAAATAAATAAATAAACGTTAACAACAAAAAAAAGTGAAGTTGGGAATCAAACCTAGGCTTATCTCACTCTAGAGCTCATATGTTTTAGGTCTACATAATTGAAAAATGGGCAAAGGATAACTTATTCAATAATACGTGTTTAACAAATATCTGTTGAGTGCATATTGTGTTCCAAGTTATAAATATATAAAACAACAATGCTCCACTTCACCAATACTTGTAGAAAGGCAAATTATGGAAGTGAGTCTGTTCTCCCTAAGTGCCAACAGTTTTCGGTCTCCACGAAAAGTACCACTCACCTAAGGAGTTCAAACCAAATCCCAAATGTTACCTTCCATTCCAACATTTCCCTTAATTGCTATTATCTTCTGATTTGTTACCAAACTATGATTGCTAGCATAGTTACTAAACTATACTACCTCCTAATAGAATGTAAGATTCCCTAATTCTCTCCACCCCTTTTGTTACCACTCTGGTTCAAATCAACAGTATGTTTTAACAAAGCCACTGTGATAGCCTCCTTTCTGGCCCTCATGTCCTGATGACGTTTTACTCTGTAGGCAGAGGGAACAGTCTTCTTAAAAAACGAAAGTATGTTCACAGAACCCTCCTGCCAAAGACTCCCATTGCACTTGAAATAAAATCCGAAACCTTTAATAAGGACATTCATCCTTATTGTTGTGCACTTGTGTATATTTTCATCCTTTCTCTTTTCCTGTCTTTGATCCACTCCTAGGTTCATTTTCACTCACAGACTTTGAAACTTGTTGTTTTCCTCTATTACTTGCCTAATGTTCTATATTGTTAATTGCTTGGTCCTCAGCACCTAAGTATACTGACTGGCAGATAGTAGGTGCTTAGTAAATATTTTTAAACCAATGAGTGGAAGGAAAAAAGAGGGGAAGGAGGGAAGGAAGGAAGGAAGGAAGCAAGGAAGGAGGGAGGGAGGGAGGGAGGGAAGGAAGGGAGGGTGGGAGGGAGGGAAAAAGGAAGGGAAGGAGAAAAGAAGGAAATGACCTTTCCATCATCACACTGCAGATTAAAAGGATTATTCATACTCTATATTTTGAACATGTAGGTCATAAATTGTTAAGGTCTTTGAGAGGGACAGTTAGGAAACATCTTTTAAAATTCAGATTAAGAAGTAGACTGAAAATCGGGGTGCCTGGGTGGCTCAGTTGGTTAAGCGTCTGACTTCAGCTCAGGTCGTGATCTCCTGATTCCTGAGTTCAAGCCCTGTATCTAGCTCTGTGCTGACAGCCCAGGCCCTGGAGTCTGCTTCAGATTCTGTGTCTCCCTCTTTCTCTGCCCTCCGTACTTGTGCGCTCTCTGTCTCTCTCTCTCTCTCTCAAAAATAAGTAAACATTAAAAAAAGTGAAAAAAAAAGAAGTACACTGGAAATCAATTTGTTGGATGAACTCTTTGCCTCCTTATCAGTTACTCAAAACCCAACTCAATTCACCTAAAATCAGTAAAAATATCTGAATTATTGAGGATTCTTTTCCCCAAAGGTTTTGTTTTGCTAGGCCTCTGGCAAAGTCATCTGCCTACATTTTTGTGAGCACTGTTCATTTTAATGTCAGTTTTATATGTGTTTCACATTTCAATTGTTGAGTATTTGTTTGCACTTAATCTTTTATTTGGAAATCCTTTTCCTTTATTATAGTTTATTATCTTATAGTAGTGTAAGGAGGATATGTATCCTGTCTCCACCCCCACAATCTCCTCTACACCTGCCTCCATTAATAGCTACTGAAGAGCTCTCACAAATGTCCTACATCTGATTTAGGAAAATTAACTAACTGATACTTACAGAAAAACATTTAATGATTTGCTTGAGGTCATCATAATATGTTGGTTGCTGGAAAAAAATAGAGATCTCCTAACGTAGGCTCTTAATGCTTACTACACCTATCACCAACATTACCCCCACTTCCAGTAAAGACAAGTGATTTAAAAAGGCATGGTTCCTAAAACTCAATCAAATATTGTATATTACAGAAATATGGTAAGTCTTTTAGGGAATTCGATGCATATCCAATTTATTATGAGAAGGAAATTTTAAAAAGTATTCCCACACAAGTGACTTAGATCTCAAACTTATTAAAACATAATAATTGTATAATAACATGTGATATAAAAAGGAGAAAAGAAATACAACTAATAAAATACAGCATAGCTGTATGTAAATTCTTGTCTGCTTCAAAACTGTTCTAAATTAAGACTGAAACTGGCTTTTAAAATACAGAATGTATTTAAGAAGTCAGAATATTTGAATTTTTAGAGTTAGAAGAACTTTAAAAATTGGAGAAAAATACAAATGGCTTCTCAATGCAGTTGTTTATGACTGTGCTTGTTGAAACTCTAAAGAATATCCTTGCATTACTCTCATTTTGTTGCTATTTATATCTTACATTGAAAAATACCTCCATTCAGATTTGGTGTTCTTGTTGGGTGTGTTTTCCACCTCTCCCTTTTGCTTGTCATTTGGAATTAGGAGGAGTGGGTATTAAAAGGTAAGAGACATGCCAATGGCCAAGTAACTAAGAACAAAACAGTTGAAGGTTGTTTGTTGTTTTCCTAAGAAATAAAACAACTATTTATTGGATTTTTATATAGCTATTTATTTATAAGATGCTAAACAAATAGAACTCATTCTTCCCCTCCCAGCCTCCAACTGTAATTAAGAACCAGTGGGCTGTAGGGATTCTGTTTGCTGTGCCATGTTGGGTTGAGTTAGCCAGACTGTGCAAAAACTGGTGGATTTTCCTACAGACCAGAAAACACCCTTTTTGTTGTGTTCTGAGGTCCCTATTCAAGTCATCAAGATACAAGCCAAACTCCACCCAACAGAAAACCTTTTTGAAAGGAGATATTTGTGGTAATAAAATATAAAGTCATAATGTCAGAAGGTTTTATCATCATTCTCATGAGAATCTGCTCTGCACAAGCATGAATAAACTCTCTTCTATCTGGAAAAGATTGTCTCCATCTTCATTGCAAAAATAATTGGGGCAAAATGTAGGAAATGTTTGCTTCTCTGGGACATTAGCCACTTGTGTTTCCTCAGCTCATGCTTGGATGAGATAGAGCCCAGAGCTAGAGGGAGTGTGACAACCTCTACACTGGAGAATCCTATTTGTAAGTGAGAAGGATGGGAGCAAATAAAGGGGCACAAAGAGTCAGAGTGTGTATCCAAATTCTTTAGTTTTCCTCCTTATCCTATTTTACCAGTCCCTATAGTATTAGAATTTCCAATGTTCAAGTGATAGAGCCTTTTGTAAGTGAGTGGAATAGGTTCCTGACTAATAGATGTAAATTAT